CGACGGCGGAACGGGAGGTATGCGGGGGCGGCTTTGCAGAATGCCCGCCGCAACAAGGAGCGAGTTTACCCCCGAACTCGTTGCCAGTGGCCGTTGCCGTTTAGTGGTTTTGGTCTTAGAAATTGGCGGTCGCTGGAGCCAAGAAACGTGCACCTTTCTACGCCTCCTCGCCAGTCACCGGGCAAGACAAGCCCCACAAATCCTCCAACAAGCGGTGTCCACAGCTCTCCTGCACCGCTGGTCTGCCATGCTGACTCACGCAGCAGCTACTGCTTACGCAGCATCCCTGCAAGGCTGTGATGGTGCCAGTGAAGCCAACCTCGAGGGCACTCCACCCTCCTTCAGCGAGCTTCGCCCAGACCCCGCCACCGGATTTTGCAACCTGGGGACAGACCAGGTTAAAAACTGTCAACCTTGGACTTGTGGCACATCTGGGGACAGGCCAGAAGAAAAACTGTCTCCACTGACCGAACTTCTGCAGCATCAAGCCACGTAGGATCTCCGCACTCCCTGATCAACTGGTTCCCTCCATTCTCGATTGATAGCCGGCTCCACTCGTGATGGTTGTCATAATACCAGGCTCCAATCGATCCAGAGTAGGGCACGTTGTGATGGCTGAGCAGTTGCCCAGAAAGGTTGATGAGGCCCTCATAGTTCACAAAAGGGTGTGCATGAAATGCTATAGCCACCCATACCGAGCTGAGGTGTTTCAGATACGATCCCAGCACATGCCTGAACCTTCTGCATCTTCTGTCCCAGGGTGCGAATGGGTTGAAGAAGATCTGCGGTCTTCCCCCTCGTCTCTCCCATTCTAAGAGGTATTCTGCATCAAAGGAATGATGGAGGATCCGATGACGTGCAAGGAGACGATGGTCAACAACAGGGTGAAGACGTCGACGTGGACAAGGAAGAGGTTGACAAATTCATGCGAAAAGCGAAAGCAACGGCCAAACGACAGTAGGCCGATGAAGAGAGAACCGAAAAGCAGAGAGAGGAGACAGAAAGAAGGGCAAAAATCCTCTCCCCCGCTGGGCAATTCGACTTGTCCCCGGCTGCATCATTGAATGCACCGCCGAAACCGTCAACGTGGACGCCGTGGACGGGGCAGCTTGAGTCATCGAGGTGGGCATCATCACGCACCTCAAAGCGCGGTACAGCAAGTCCTTGTATTCCTTCATGGTCGACATGGACGCCACGGAATACAATGACAGGATTATCAACCAGGGCAGCATACCTGAGTTTGATGGCTACTGCCCTTACCTCCGGACAGACAAAAAAGGTGAACTGAAACCACCAACAGAAGGGGGTATGAAGGCTCTATTTGCAAACGAGAAGTCCAAAGAGGGTGAAATTGGGGGAAGAGACGAAGAAGTTAATTTTCGATCAACAATTGGCACGCGAATTTTGTGCAGACTGATGAAAGATGTGGTCAAGACGGGCATGAGACCAACGAACTTCAACTCAATGTTTGCCGACGACCTTGATCTCTGTGACAAGGAGAGAGAGGCAATCAGAAAAAGGAGTTCATCAATGGTGAGGAAGTTGATCCTTGGAACATTCGGCGTGAGAAGCTATGACTACTTCCGGACCAAGTACTCATTGGAGGATCACCTGCACATCGACCCGGTCTCCATTTTCTGCGCGGTAGTGAAGCAGGTCAGGACCTACTCCGGATCATTGATGCTGGTGAACCAAGGGATGCAGCTGCCGGACCAACTGATGGAGCAACACGAAGCAAAGCAGCGATCAGCCATGAAGAACGAGCATCAGATGATAGGAACGCCACATGAACTTCATGCGCGCCATTGCTACCAGTGGCTACGGGACAGCCGATGCCTCCAATTCAGCAGCTACAGGAGCTTTGAAGAAGAAGAAAACTCGCAAAGCGAAGTCGGGCTGAGGATCGACCCGAAGATCACCTGAGAGAGGCACTTGAGAGCTTCAAGCTCCAAATTTGTGAAAAAGACCGGGGTGAAACCACCGTACCAGCTTTCCAACTACATAATGTTCACCTCTGATTTATCAACTGGCCCCCCCCTCCCCTCCTCTCTTTTCCCTAAATAAAGTTAAAGGCCACCATCAAAATTGTTTGTATGTAAAGGTTTTCAATTATATACCACAATTTAAAACGATAAAATAAAAATGATTTTTTAAACAAGGAATCCAGCACTTGTTTTAGTCTTGATTTAGTATTCATGTCATGGATTTAGTATTGATTTAGTATTCATGTCATGGATTTAGTATTGATTTAGTATTCATGTCATGGATTTCGTATTGATTTAGTATTCATGTCATGGAATTGGTATTGATCTAGTACTCCTGTCATGGATTTGGTGCTGATGTAGTATTCATATCATGGTTTTATTATTGATTTAGTTTTCATGTCATGGATTTAGTATTGATTTGGTATCCATGTCATGGAATGAGTATTGATCTAGCACTCCTGTCAGGGACTTAGTATTGGTTTAGTATTCATTTCTTGGATTTAATATTGATTTAGTATTCATGTCATGGATTTAGTATTGATTTGGTATTCATCCACATGAGCCCGATCAGCCACACCAGCCATCAACAGCCATCAGCAGCCATCAGGACAGCAGGATCAGCAATCATGTGGTACATTAGGTCCATGTGCTTGCTGCTGCCAGCTGCTGCTGCTGCTGCTGGTGGTGGTGGTGGTGGTGGCTGTGCTGGGGCTGATCCCCTTCAGCCCTGGCATCACCTTGCAGGATCAGAGTTGGATCAGATTCTGCATCCACCAGAGAAAAAGAAGGAAGATAAAGGGAAGGAAGATGAAGTGAAGGAAATGAAGTGAAGGAAGATGAAGGGAAGGAAACTGAAGGGAAGGAAGCTTAAGAACAATGAGTAGTTGGGGATCAGTTTCACATGAGGTTTCCATTAGGCAGACCAGTTTCACATTAGCTCACATGAGCATTTTGCTCAGACATTAGAGTTTCAGATCAGTTGGACATGAGGTTTCCATTAGGCAAACCAATTTCACATAAGTCTCACATGAGCATTTTGCTCAGAATTAGAGTTTCAGATGGTGGTGGGCAAATGGCAGAATGGTGATGGGATGGCATGAGTAGGAGCATCCAGGGGGATAGGATTGAGAAGGATTTCATAGGAGGAGAGGATTGAGAAGAAATTGATAGGAGGATAGGATTGAGAAGAAATTGATAGGAGGATAGGATTGATCATGCAGCCTTCCATGTAGCTTTCCATGCAGCCTTCCATGCAGCCATCCATACAGTCCTCCATGCAGCTGCTATCAGCATCAGATCAGAGTAGTGACCAGCATCCATATCGAGACCACCATCAGTTCCTTGAATGAAATGAATCTTTTTTTCCCCACATTGACGTATGGGGTTTTTGTTTTTAGTTCTGTATCCGCTCCGTCCTTCAGTAGCTTGATTCAGGGTCAGACTCAAATCAGTGCCAGGCACTTCATGGGGGGTACCCTAGCTTGACCATTGGACATTGAGATTGATTTTGGATAATTAGGTTTTACACAAAGGATTTGGATAGAAAGAGCATTCATCATTTTTGCAAACTTGAAGCCATCAAGGTAAGATCTAATGAGCTGGCCTTATCACTTTAAACCATTGGAAGCTTACCTCAAATAAAGCTAATGAACCGCAAGATCAGGGATTGCTAGGCCTTAACTCTAGTCAAGGCCCAGCTTTATTTGGGGATAAAGCGGTGGAGCTATTTCAATCAGCCAGCACCCTTCTGCAACAAGGACACAGATCCAGCTGCCATCATTGCAAGAGCCAAGAGGCAGGCAGCTCAGATTTTGCATGATGCAGAGCAGAAGGCTAAAGCATTGTCAGTTTCAAAGCAGATTGTCAAGAAGCCTTCAGATCAGTTCAAGACACCAGACAGACCAACATCCAGCGTAGTTTCACCAGTTTCAGGATCATCATCCAAACCAAAACAATATAGTTTGGTGATTTTTTTTTTGGCACAGCCAAGCAGAAAGAGGAAGCCAGCCCCATCCTTGCAGAGAAAGAGATCAAGGCATCTCCAAGAGTACAGCAATCAAAGGCAATGAAAGATTTAATGAAAAAGAAAGAAGAATATTAAGAATTATTGGAAGCACAGCAGCTTGAGAATGCAGTGGATGAGACAGATGACTCTATCAGAAAAAGACAAACAAGAGGAGGCAGACAACCCAGGAATGATAAAGGCAGCACCCTGACCACACATTCCAGGAGGAAAGAGGGAGCAATCAAAAGAAAGATTGAGTTTGGAGCATATGAGAAGATGAAGATCTGTGATGAGATTGAGCAGCAAAGGGTGTCCTTCTCAAGGGAAGATGAGCCCTGGGCCCATTCGAGAAAAGTATATGGGGTTACAGTTCAAAGGCTGAAAGATATCTATGCCAAGAGAGAGCAATGGATGAGGCTTGTCAAAAGCAACAATCTAGGTGCCAATAAAGGAACAAAGAAAGGGAAGAGGAGGAAAGCCCAAAATGCAAAGATGAGATCTGCTGGAGGTGGGAGAAAAAGAGAGTATCAGCAGATCAGCAAGCTCAAGGGATGGCTGCAGCAAGAAAGGTCATGTGGCCACAACATCTCAAAAAGAGAGTTGTTGCAAGAATTCTGCTGCTACTTGGTTGAGCATGCCAAAGATCTTGTGAGCCAAGCTGATGAGGTGGCAGCATCAGGCAACCCTTTGATGCAGGCCAAGGCGAAGCTGATGAGAAAAGAAGCAGATGCAGCAATGGAGAGGAAGAAGAAGTTGATGGATGGGAACACGACCTATGGCAGGAACTACACAGACAAGCTTATAGGATGGATATCAGCATCCTACATGCAGAAGGAGCAGTCGCATAAGCTGTCTCCCATTGAGTCAAAAGTCAGGGCTCAGCTGACCTATCAAGCATTGACAGGCTCATCTGGTTGATGGGAGCAGGTGGCGAGGCAGCTTTGGAGGAATCAGGGTTGGTTTCCAGTCCAGCAGAAGTGATTAAGGCAAGGAAGAACCTTTGCATCACTATGTCTGATCAAGTTCCCATGTGGGGCAAAGCTGTGAGTCAGAAGATCATTTTTGCAGAGCATGAGCTTGCAGGATGCAGGTACCAAGATGCAGTGAATTTCAGAGAGATCAGGGAGGAAATTGCATCAGCTCAAGCAACAGTGGCAAACAATGCGGTGCAAATCATCACAGCCTCTGATGAGACAGGTCTGAAAAAAGTTGCAGGCATGAGGACGATGTCTGCAAACAGCTATGATGAGAAGTACAGGCTGACATATGAAGCCAGACAGAAGACTTACAACATTGTTGGTGAAGGCCCCTTGACAGGGGAAGTGGCCAAAGGCTTGCTTGTCTTTGGAGGCCAGCATGCACGATTGAGCAATGTAGATGAGCAATGCAAGTGGATAGAGACAGAGGAGTTCCTGATTGGAGACAATAAGGTGCAGCATGAGGCAGGCACAGTCTGCAACGTCATGAAGCCCTTTGTGAAGCTCAGGAATGAGTTTCCAGGCCTCTTTGAGAAGATCTCCATCATGACTCAGCCTGCAAGCAACTGTGATGGAGTGTTGATGAAGTGGATTGCAATGGAGCAAGCCATGCAGGAGCCAGCAGGAATCGCAATCAAAGATTCATTTGCTGCAAATTTTGCAGCTGAGACAGAACAGGCAGAGCACATTTGCAACATAGCGTCAGCTCACATCTTAGGTCACATGACTGCCCAGTTGCAAGTCACAGACACAGACTTTGCACGAGCTTTTAAGCACAAGTTCAAGAATGAGTTGGATGAGATGAGGAGGGATTACAAGAAGGAGAAAGGCACTGAGAAGGGATTCAGCATTGGCTATGAGCAAATCATCAGAGCAGCAGTATCCAGCGAAGACTACATGGAGGCCATGAAGGAGAAAACCAATTGGGTGGTGGAGGCAGCCATCAGAAATGGTTTAGTGGCATACAGGTGCAGCCCATCAGGTGAGTTGAAGAAGATCACAGATGAGGAGTGGGCATGCAAGACGGGAACAAGGAGGATCCCATCAGACTGGCTGGAGAAAAGGTACTCATGGCTGCAGGATGGAGTTCCATCAATACCAGACTTCAGCTTGAGTCGAGATGCAACATGCATCACAGACCTCATCAGCTGGAGCAATGCTCATCCAGTTCAGGATGGAGAGGAGGAAGAGCATCAAGTTCCGGCAGAAGATGAGAAGGAGCATGCAGAGAAGGAGCATGAAAGCAAGCATGAGGTGGAGGCAGCAAAGGAGAATCAAGAAGTTGATTTCACAGACATCAGCGATGAGCTCCTCCTGCCATGCAACAACAGCTTGTTTTATTCATTGAGCCCCTCATTGAGAAGAGAGTTTTATAGAAGGAAGATGTTGGATGAGTCATTTGGCAGCCTTGTATATAAGAATGCAAGGGCCAGAGAAGAGATGAGAAAGAGAAGTGTAGTGAGATCAGCTGCAAGGAAATGGTTGAGCAAGAAGCTGCTGTCCTCCATAGGCAAGCAAGAAGCATTAGGCCAAATCCAGGCCAGAAGCAACAACAAGAAGAGGGTTGGCAAGAGGCTGTTGAAGAAAAGCACCAAAGCAAAACCATCAGCAAAGACAAAAGCGAGTTTGAAGACTAAACCATCAGCAAAGGCCAAGCTTCTGAAGAAGGGCCGCATGAAGAAAAGTACTGATGGAGTTGGTAAAAAGCTGCTGGCCAGTATGAAGAAAGACATGCAGCATACAGAGCATGCAGATGAAGAGAAGCCACCATTGCCACCACCATCAGAACATCCTTTGATGGGCCTAGAGGTAAGAGTCACAGATGAGCAGGCTGGGCCCAAATCTTTTGGAAAGACAGGGGCATTGAGCAGCATCAATGAGCACAAGGCCACTATTTTCACAGCCAGTGGCACCGTCAGCTGTGGCACAAGCCGCATTGAGGAAGAAAGAGCAGAGTGGAAGAAGCCAGTGCAACATAAGCAGTTCAACTCCTTGAGCAGAGCAGTGATGCAGAAGATTTTGGAAGCCATGGCTTGTTTCCCCCAGCCCTTTGTCGAGTACTCATTGAATGGGTATTGAGAAGATGAGCATTTAGTTGCAGCTTGGGAGTGGATGAGATACAGCCTGAAGATTCCCGATGAGGTGCAGATGCTGGATCCAGCTTTGGTGGCCAGATTGAGCACCACTTTGACCAGTGAGGATGAGGAGACATTTCAGCATCCCCAGGCAAGCATTTTGAGCTTTGCACCAGGTGTGGAGATGCTCCTTTGCCCAATCCAGGGCCACACTCCTGCACATTGGACATTGCTTGTGAAGGATTCATCAGGCTGGAGATACTATGAGACTTTGAGCACCTTGCACAAAGAGTGCCATCAGAGAGCAGTTGCTTTGATCAGCTTGTTTGATTCAGTGGACAAAGATCAAGTCCAGCTCCAGCGATGAAATCACATCAAGCAAAAAGATGCAGATTGTGGCCGTTTTGTCAGTGCGTACATGGAGCAGGAGGCATGCAGAAGCACATCAAGTCCAGCCAGCAGAGGCTGGCCAGACCAGCTGCAGAGTGATTGGAAGATCAAGCTGCAGAAGCTTCAGAAGGCATTGCAGGGAGAGTTTGATAAGCTGATGAAGGCCAAACATGAGGCTGAGAAACAAGCAGCATCTTTGAAGAAAAAGCAGGAAGATGCACATACCAAAGCATCAGAGAGACTGAAGAAGTTGAAAGATCACAAAAGTGCAGCCGCATTAGATGCCATAGCCAGCATGACAAAGCATTCCCAGTACTTCAGAGTCAAGGATTTATCAGACCATGCAGTTTATCAGATCCAGCGTGCAGAGGAGAAGCTGACAAGATGTGGAAGCTGCAGGTATCAAACTGGCTGCTTGAGATGTGATGCAGCCAAAGCCCTCAGCTACCACATCAGAAATGAAGCTCAGAAGGCCAATAAAGTACCAAAGTGGGAAGGACCAGGGCTGAAGGGGATGGTGAGTTTTTCTGCATGTTTTTTTCTGAATATTTGGTGCTAGGAGGGGTGTTGTTGGTTGTGGTGGTGGTGGTAGTGGTGGCGGTGGTGGTAGTGGTGGTAGTGGTGGTGGTGGTGCTGCTGCTGCTTGCTCAAGTGGAAGCATCAGGAGAAGAGAAGGAAGAGGACTAAATCAGAAGCAGCATATAGGATAAGCACCCAGTTGGCAGATGAAAGCCACCTCAAATAAAGCTTGGACAATATTTTTCAGCCCCATCTGGGCAAGGGTTTAGGGCCAAAAAAGTTTACTTTATTTAGGGGTCATTTATTTTTTGTTTTGGGAGTTTGGTTAGCTTTATTCAGGGTCCATTTATAAATCGTAGGTCAACATTATCTTATTTAGTGCACGAAGCGTTTGGGAAGCAGGTACGTCCTTCGACGGGCCTCCTGATCAACGCATAATTCGGGGAACCATGCTAGTCCGTTGGCTAACATGGGGAACCGGGTAGCATTAGATCGGTAGTTGTGTCTTGGGGAAGGCAGAAGGTATATACCAATTATGACTAATTGAGGTAGGGCATTTAAATCCTGGCATTTGCTCTCCTGCGCCCGATTTCAAGCATTCATCGGGCGTGGGGGATGTGAATGTATTGCAGACCAGGTTAGCCCTAAGTAGATGCATGTACAGATTGGACACAGCCGCCAACCGCCAGCTGACAACTCTCTACGCCCGCTGTTTGGCTCAAGCTTACCGATCGCTACTCAAGGAAAATGGCGCGCGCTGCAACGGGCATTTGAGCTTTAGCGGGCTCTTACCAACTACTGTTGTACCACGAAAGGTCACGGAGTGCTAACACAATTGCACCCATTCTCATGTAATCATATGCTGTATTCTGTATTGGTATTTGCTGCCGATTACCCGGTATTTTGCCACAGGAAATATCCATTGAACATCTGATCTGAAACTTGGACTGCCCTTTGCTCATGTTTCAGCGGTGGGACTTAAATCTGATCGTTTTTGTGTTACTGTAATTTATATGAACGCACATCACTTGGCACGCGTTCCAAAAACTTTGGCCACTGCAGGAACAACCCAAATAAACCAAGAATGCTTTGGCAACTGCAATTTGGCAAGAAACACTTGCAACACATCCCAGATGTACGCACACAGACACTTTAACCTGCAATTTTTTTTTCTCAACCCACAATAGCCAATGGGTTGCTGCAGACGCATTGATATCACGTTGGGAAGCGGACGTCGTTGAACACTTTTTTCTCGCTGGATAGACACGCCCAAAAACATCTTGCAGTAAAATGAAGGTCGTTTTTTGTTTCCTTCTGTTCCCTTCCAAAGACGAGTAACTCTGCAGAATGCATGCGTGAATATATGAACATTTTTAGAGGATTGAACGAAATCAACCGCCACGACATTAATTTCAAGTGGATTTTGCAATCAATTGGGTTGGTTTTTCATTGTGTTCAACCAATGGACATGCCGATGCCATGTATGGTTTCAGGCATCAGCATGGGTCGGGGTTGGGGGATGCACCAGCCGGAGTTCTTCAAACGCCGAGCGCTGCAGGGAACCAAGACAGAATGAACATTTCCACTCCAAGTGGCATTTTGGTGAGTTTTGTCTTGAGGTTCCATGAGGTTCCATTGGTCATACAGTTGAGCAGTTGCTGATATTTTGTGTTCTTTTCCGGCCAATCGAGTGACACTTCATTCTGCGTTCAGGTGGTTTGTAGTGGACAGTTGAGAGCAGATTGTGGCTTCAATTTGATGTAATGATGACGTTACAATTAGGATCGACACCTTTATAGGGTGTACATTAATTTGAGGTTGCCCGTCCCACGATTGAAGTGTTTCGAGGTTGAGAAATGGCGATGGAGTCGGCCTCAGCATTCCATCTTCTGCGTTTGCTGTTTCCACTTGTTGCGTGAATTGCACCAGGCACCAGCTGCCACAACTGCATCAACATTGTCAATCAATGTAGATATCAGCAGGCACTGAACTGCGTTTTTTTGGCACTCCCGAGGTCCGTTGCTGCAGTCCCACAGACCCCACGTAATCACAGTTTGTTATGTTTTCTTTCTTTCGATGTAGCTTGCACGAGAAACAATTTCTTTTGCCCGGAACATTGGCACTCAACAGTTTGGCAAGCTTGTGTTCAAAAAATCCAAGGCGTCCGTCTCCAAGGGGGGCCTTCCGAAGCAGACCAGTGGCTCTGACCCATGCTCAGAATCAGGATGTTTCATGAACCATGGCGCACTGGATTTGTAATATGGTCAGGTAAGTTACGTAGTTTTTTCCCGCACTCTGAGCTTCGAGGCCATCTCCAAAAGCAAAGTGTCCAACTCGACGAAAATCGAGGCTTATTGTGGTTCACAACGTTGCACTATTGCATTTCTTAGTGTATTGCTGGCTGTTTGGAGTTGGAACTTTGGCCTTTTCCCCAGCAGTGTTGGCCGTTAGCGTGGAGGGGTCTCAGCAAAGATAGCGGTTGCGGATGTTCCAGTTCTGGCGATTTTGGGAGCGGTATGGGTTATGGTGCAGGTTCTGGGTGGTTCGGGAGGTTCGGGCATTCCAGGTGCTTTTTGGTGTGGTTTCTGGGTGATTCTGGAGGTTGCGGTGTCGTTCGTTTTCGGGATGTGCCGAAATGGTCATGTTCTTGGCGGTTCCGGGTCGTTTTTGGATGTTTCCTTGACTCCGGTGGGAAGGTGGTCTGTAGTTCCCAGCTGGTTCAAGCGGTTCATTGTTGGAGGTTCTGGTTTGGGTTCCAGTGTCGGTTCTGGGTGGTTCCGGGTTGTTCTGGAGGTCCTTGCTGGTGCGCTGGGATGGTTCCGGAACCACTGGAACTGGGTGGTTCGGGCTGGTTCCGGTGCTGGTTGAGGTCCTGGTTCCAGGGTGGATCAGCTTCAGCGAGATGGGCGTGCATTTCCTACCACCTTTCTTGTTGGGATACTACCTGGCCTTATTTGGCTATAGCCAGATTGGCTTTCTAGGTCCGCTAGCTGAGGTGGTACACGTCTGTTTCTGACAGGTCAAAGCGACAGCTTTGCTTCAAAACCCAACGGTCAGTGGAGATTCCAGATTAACATAGATTAACTGGATCGCCAACATGATATTGAAACACACTGGAGTGACTTGCTCTGAGCGACCAAGGTTGGACTGGACCGGACTGGACATAACCTGTGCAAGCAGGAATGCTTACGATAGTGACATATTGACCACGTTCCGCATACTTCACGGAATGCAAGGAGATGTGGACGTTGCCAAGACTCAGTTTTGCAGATGCCACGCCGCTGGTTTTCCGAATCTTCGACACTCTTGTTTTTTGTGTGATCATGGGAGGCCACTGCATCGAGAACCAGGAATACCAGCATAGCTCCAAGTACTCAACGTTCTTTGTGTTTGCATGGGTGCAGATTTTTTTTCTTTGTTATCCTTGTCAATCCTGACCGGCAGATGATAGGCTACTGGTCATCGCACCGTTTTGTGCAAAGGCGGTGGAGATAGTGGTGTGGCGCAGGGTGGTCGGATGCTGATCTATTGCGATGGCAAGAATGTCGGGCAGCTCCAGCTGGGATTTGGGCACAGTCGCGTCCCATGCCACGGAGGCAAAGATAATTGAAATATATTCAAGCAGATTCAAGCAGGCAAGTGCACAGATACATTATATAATATTTATATATGATTAATTATTTATGAATTTGTATGCCACGTAGCTGAAGTCTGGGATTTAGATGTGTCGCAGTATTTATCGCAATGCTGGATGTATATCCTTAGTTTGGCTCGTATACCAGTCAGGTGCATATGTGCGTTGCCGTAGTGGGTGATCAGGAAGTTTGGTGATCAGTTTCTTTCATTCCGCTGTGACTTGCCCTTTGGACTACCGGTTGTTGTTTGAGGTGACGCCGCGTAGCTTGGTTCCATCACACTACCAGAAGATTCCAGGCGCTGGAAGGATTGAAAGGAACATGGGCCACATATGTGACATGGGCGACAAGAGAGTAGCATTTTCAGACACAGAAATTAGAGAGTCAAAATAGATCCAGCCATCGTGCAGAAAATCATTGCAGCTTTGAGGCGATGCGACGAACCTTGATGGGCTGGGGAGCTTAAATTTTCTCCTTGCTATCTTCAATACTACTTGGTTTGCAAACAAGACATCCAGAGTTTGCTCGGAATTTCAACATCAGAATCCACTTCAAGTCCTGCCAAGTTGCTTCCCGTTGACTAAAGATACTCAGGATCCTTGGTGGAGCATCCTTGACCGCGCAGGAGGATTGGCAGTGGAGTGATTTTTTCCGCCAGTTTCAGTGTAGCCCACCGCAGAAAATGTTGAAGTGGAGAAAAAAGCTTCTGGTGAAGAGCAGTGAAGAATAGTGAAGAATGGTAGAGATAAAGAGCAGTCCAGCAGTTCCTGGTTCTAAATGCTGCTTTCATGCAACATGACAAATCGACAAAGCCAATAGTGGCAGTATCGTGGCGGTTCTTTCACAGGCCGTGGCCTTACACGGTGGCACATCCGTTTCAGGAGGAGAAACCTGCTGTGCCGGAGAAATTGCCACCAACAGCTGCCGAGATTAAGGTGGGCACTGTGTCGGTGATGTCACTCTTTCCTTTTTCTTGATTTTCTGAACGCCAATGAAAAAACAAACAGGGAGAATGGGTCAGTTTGGTTCGACCTTTCCCTTTTCGTTAGGATTTAGCTCCGGGTTCGTTCAAGAGGAATCGCAGCCAGGCCAAGGCGCCAAAACAGGCGACGCTGATGAAAGACGAATTGGAGCGCAGCATCGACATTGCCAGGCCCCAAGGATGACCTGCGGCTTGTGCAGTGTCAAAAAACGGTCATAAGTCATATGGTATTCAGCGGTATTAATATGGTTATCTCATGTATACTGCAGATCTGCCGAGGTCCTGGGTGAAACTGAAACTGAGACACTGTTGTCCTTCCCATCTCTTTGTGTCTCACTTGACAATGCACTGTCTGAAGCTGAGATGGTCCCTGCTTTGGCCCTTCATAGCTGAAAAAAAATACAGTTTCGTTGGTTGGTCGCAGGTTGCATTTGCATTATATAGCTTGACCACTTGTCTACTTGTTTGGGCTGGAGAAGCGACATCATGTTCGGCTTCCAAAGCTTAGGTCCAGTTCGGTTGCAGCTCGGAACAAGGTGGCATGGCACATG